CTTTCGACATCTTTTTCGAAGGAGACAAACTTGGTGATGGTGAACAGAGCGAAGAGGCTAGTGAATGCAAGCAAGAAGTTTGTCTCGCTGTTCATTAGGCCTTATGAAGAGCCACTGAAAGAGGATTGCAATTTGGAATGAAAGACGACTATGATGAGACAGGGGACGAAGGCGTTTTTGATTGGACATCAAGGTCAGGCTCCTAGCAAAGCCAGGTGGTTCAACAGGGAAGGAGGAGCTCAAGAGCTTCCTCAGCTGAAGTTCTAACTTGAACGAGACTTTAAGTTCCTAAAGATGGAAGCCATGATACGAGTATATCTTCTTCCTTGTTTCAAGAGCTTAGTGATCCTCATGATAGCTTGAGGATAGATGATTCTCATAAGAGTTTGAGAATAGAGGCGTGGGTGAAGCCGTTGGTAGTGGCGAAAGCGGTCAAAAGCAGGAAAACGGTAAAATCAGGAATCTGGCGACAAGACTCTGGCCGGTCGACTGAACACTCGGCACCGGTCGACCGGATTAGTGCACACTACAGGACGAGAAACATGTTCTCTGGTCGGTCGACCGAGACACACTTGTCGGTCGACCGATAGTGGGAGACTGGTCGACCGGTATTCCTACATCGGTCGACCGGATCAGTTTCCTAGGCCGAGTTGGACTCTGTTTTGAGTCGAATCCTGATTGGGTTTTGATTTGGTTATTTATGATTTTGCCATCCACGTTGTTTTCCCTATAAATAGGGATTGTTTAGGATTTCTAAACATCGGAGGAGAGATTTTAATCAAAAGATTAGAGTTTAGTGATGATAGAGAAGTTGTTCTTTATTCTAGAGAGATTGCGAGAGAGAGATTTAGTAATATTTTAATCTTCATAATCTAAAGAAGATATTTTCCTTCGTCAATTAAATTATTTTGTGTGTTTTACTGTCTTCTTTTCAAAACCACCTTTGATAATTCTGCGATCAAAGGTGCTCGCACGGCGACTTGTATTACATTCAAATACAAAGAATAGTAGATTATAGCATACTTGTTGGCATACAAAATCCTAAAAGAACCATATAATGATCATATGACTCGATACCTTGCTAGCTGGACCCTTGGAATCACCAAGTAGAATCTGAGAGTTTTGATTTTTTTTACAATCTTGGAATCCTATTGTTGGGCTAAATTGATTGTTTGTGATTTTGTTTATTTCTATTGATGCTGCCTTTGTATCTGTTAGTGTTTTGATCCTAGAATGTTGAGATGTTTTTAAATCTTGAGCATGCTGGTGCTTTTGCCTGCACGCTTATTTATCATTATATGTGTTATAGCTATAAAATGTTATTTTTAATTTGGTCCTTTCTTTATTTTCGATTGCATTTGTGATCCTGGAACGTAGAGATATTATTTGAAGCTGAAGTATGACAGTGTTTTTGTGCTGGAGTTTTTTTTTTTTTCATTCCATGTTTATGAGCCTAGGTGTAAATCTTTGTTTTTAATGTGATTTGTTTATTTCTATGTGAAGTTAATATGCTCCCTGTGAAGTATGTGTTTAATATATAGACATAAGATTGGTTTTCAAAGTATTAAATAGCCTTCAAATGTTTCATCTATTATGATAATATGCATCACGTGCAATGCACGTATTTCATACTAGCATATAAAAGAGAGGTTTGCCATGTCAAAACTTTCGATTTCCATTTTTGCCCTTTTTAATTTGATAATTCTCAAATATGTCATTAGTTATAATTAATCATTCACTAGTTATATATAACCTCTTGTTAATTATGCATTACCTCACTTTTCAAAATCTTTGGTCACACTATTATATTATTATTGAATTAAGTTATTTAATAGAATATTTAAAATTTATCCCTAATTTATCTTCACATAATATTTAAAATTTTAGAAAAATTAAAAATAATAAAAATTCATTAGGCTTATGCTTTGTGCCTTAGGATTTCACCTCTTATGATTTATGAATGACTACCTGTTGCATTTCGTCTTACTAGCTTTTTAAAAGTATGATAATAGTATGAAAAGTAATTTATATTTATTATAATTGTAATAGTATTATTAGTATAATGATCCTAATAGTGTTTTTAAAATTAATAAATTATACTATAGTTTAATAATTAAACAATTTAGTAAATTATTTACTAACAGTATAATAAACTAATTATTAAATTAAAATATAGTTACTAATGGTATTATAAGTATGTTATGTATAATATTATTATATTTAAAAGAGAATAAATTATCTAATATATGATAATTATTTTAATGAATTATGAATAAATTACAACAACTATCCAAACTATAATAATTAATATATCATACAGTTCTTTATACATAGTTTATTTTAATATATGGTAATTATTTTAGTATATTATGAATAAATAATAATCATCCGAACTATAACAACTAGTCATATAGTTCTTTATACATAGTTTTATCGTATAATTTATTCACTTAAATAAAAATATAATTGTTCGTGATTTATATTACTATGCGAGTCATTTTATTATTTTGCAACCAACAAAAAATAAAAAACATAAAACAAAATAAGTACGTTGTTGTGCAAAGCACGTGCACTATACTAGTATGCATAAATAATAATTGGATTGGTTTTAAGGTTTAAGAGCTCAATAATAATGAAAAATGAAAATAAAAACAAAAAAGAATACCAATGGTTTTATGCTGGCTAGAGCTGCAGCATTGCGGAGCCTCTGCTCTTCCCATTTCATATTTCTGAGATCAAACCTTGATTTTATAATTGTCATCAAGAAAATAGATGCATCGTTATCTTCCCATGTTTCACTCCCTTCAGAATCAATAAGTAGGCCCCAACCTCAGTGGCTATCTAAATTGACAAATATATATTTGTCAGTTACCTAGTTCTTTGCAAGAAAATCCTCTAAATCCCTTAATTGTCTTAAATCCCCCAATAAATTAGGCCTACTATGAGATAACCCTCAAAAAGTTTGGAAAAATCACTTAACCCAAAAAGACCTTTTCAGGTAAACCCCAAAAGTTAGGGGCTATCTGAAAATAGATTCAAAAAAAAAAAAAAAAAAAGAGATTTTAATCAAAAGATTAGAGTTTAGTGATGATAGAGAAGTTGTTCTTTATTCTAGAGAGATTGCGAGAGAGAGATTTAGTAATATTTTAATCTTCATAATCTAAAGAAGATATTTTCCTTCGTCAATTAAATTATTTTGTGTGTTTTACTGTCTTCTTTTCAAAACCACCTTTGATAATTCTGCGATCAAAGGTGCTCGCACGGCGACTTGTATTACATTCAAATACAAAGAATAGTAGATTATAGCATACTTGTTGGCATACAAAATCCTAAAAGAACCATATAATGATCATATGACTCGATACCTTGCTAGCTGGACCCTTGGAATCACCAAGTAGAATCTGAGAGTTTTGATTTTTTTTACAATCTTGGAATCCTATTGTTGGGCTAAATTGATTGTTTGTGATTTTGTTTATTTCTATTGATGCTGCCTTTGTATCTGTTAGTGTTTTGATCCTAGAATGTTGAGATGTTTTTAAATCTTGAGCATGCTGGTGCTTTTGCCTGCACGCTTATTTATCATTATATGTGTTATAGCTATAAAATGTTATTTTTAATTTGGTCCTTTCTTTATTTTCGATTGCATTTGTGATCCTGGAACGTAGAGATATTATTTGAAGCTGAAGTATGACAGTGTTTTTGTGCTGGAGTTTTTTTTTTTTTCATTCCATGTTTATGAGCCTAGGTGTAAATCTTTGTTTTTAATGTGATTTGTTTATTTCTATGTGAAGTTAATATGCTCCCTGTGAAGTATGTGTTTAATATATAGACATAAGATTGGTTTTCAAAGTATTAAATAGCCTTCAAATGTTTCATCTATTATGATAATATGCATCACGTGCAATGCACGTATTTCATACTAGCATATAAAAGAGAGGTTTGCCATGTCAAAACTTTCGATTTCCATTTTTGCCCTTTTTAATTTGATAATTCTCAAATATGTCATTAGTTATAATTAATCATTCACTAGTTATATATAACCTCTTGTTAATTATGCATTACCTCACTTTTCAAAATCTTTGGTCACACTATTATATTATTATTGAATTAAGTTATTTAATAGAATATTTAAAATTTATCCCTAATTTATCTTCACATAATATTTAAAATTTTAGAAAAATTAAAAATAATAAAAATAGGACTACTTGTTACATTTCATCTTATTAGCCTTTTAAAAATATAATAATAATATGAAAATTAGTTTATATTTATTGTAATTATAATAGTGTTAATAGTATAATAATTTTAATAGTATTTTTTAAATTGATGAATTATAATGTAATTTAATAATTATACACTTAGGTAAATTATTTAATAATAGTGTAATAAACTAATTATGAAATTTAAATATAGCTACTAATAGTATTATAATTATGATATGTATAATATTGTTATATTTAAAAGAGAATACATTATTTAATATATTATAATTAAATTATAAATAAATTATAATTGTCCAAATTATAATAATTAATTGTACAGTTCTTTATACACAACTTTATCGTACAGTTTATTCATTTAAAAAAATATAATTGTTTATAACTTACATTGTTGTACAAGTCATTTCAGCATTTTGTAGCCAACAAAAAATTTTAAAAATATAAAATAAAATAGGTACGCACGTGCATTATACTAGCTTTAGAGATACAAGTATTCCCTTAAATCACCGAAATTTTCTAGTAGTACAAAATATGAGACATTGTTGCAAATAGACCCCAAAGTGAATTTTTTTTTACTCTTTTATCGCAGGAAGTGTACTTCAAAAAATAATTTTTCTCTTTCTTCAAGGGTAAAAGAGTCAATATAAATCACTCAAGGGGTCGATCTGCCACATTAGAACTAAAGTGAATCTATTTGCCAATGGATGATAGCACAGGGAGCCTATCTGCAACAATAGAACTATTAGGGGTCTATCCGCTATTGGGCGATAATACACAGTCTATCTGCAACAATAGAAACTACAAGCGGTCTATCTACAATTGAGCAACAGTAGAGAAGGGCTATCCACAATTAACCCTATTACACAAGAATGACATAAAATAAGTGAGTGCAATAAGGATACACATGCCTGCAGCATGGAAATCTACAGAAGCAGCACTAACCTTCCATTTCTTCTCCCTCATCATCTTCATCATCGCCCTCCAAAAGCCACTGTTCAAGCTCATCAAACTCGTCCTCCTCATGCCGATACCATCCACTTAACGAATCCCAATATCCAGTTCCTAGTTCCTCACCTCGACAAGCGACATGCAGAAAAGGTCGCCTTCTAGCCAATGCATCCACCATATCTCTATTAACACTCCCAATCACTCCCAGCCATCGAAGCCTTGGGAAGTAAGGCTTCTTAAACCAACGAAATGAAAGTGGAGTTATGCCACCACAATCATAAAGATCCAGCAAATGCAAGCTACTACCAAGCAAACCACCCTCAAGTTGCATTGATGCTAATGCCATTACTGAAGCGTCCCCTATATGTGGACATTCTCTGAGGCGGAGCTCAACAATTGGGACCCTACTTTTAGCTAGTAAGAATATCCCATCATCAGATAAATTTGGAAGCCTAGAGAGGTCCAGAATTTGGAGAGAGCGCGCTGAAGAACCGCTGAAGATGGAAGAGATACAAGCATTTGTTAGTTTCCTGCAACCTCTTAAGGAGAGTGAGACTAATTGACAGTTTCCATGGCCCAAGTACGACAATCCCAAATCACTGATATCTGTGCCATCCAAAAGCAGTGTTTGTAACTTAGAAAGAGAGCTTAGAGATTTCAAGGCAGGATCAGTAAGTTTTCGACAATCCCTCAGATCAAGGACACATAGCTCCTTACTGAATGAAAGCTTCTCGATACCAGGATTAGTCAAGAGATTGCACCACCTCAAACTTACATGAGTCAGAGACAAAGAAGTGGCGAAGATGTCATGAAACAAAAGATCTGTCAGTTGACTTCCATGGGAAATTCGAAGTTTCCGAAGTTTGGGGCATGAATATAGGATTTCTCTGAAACCACTATCGGTAACTCGGCAAAAACCACCAAGACTGATGCTCTCCAATGCAGAGCAAGTGTTTACCATTAGAAGAATTCCTAGATCATTTACTCGTCGGAAATAGGTGAATAAGAACTCCTGACTCCGAGTCAATGAAATATGCTTGAGTTTTCCATGTTGATTTATCTGCTGAAGGCCATTGTTGGTCAGGTCGGTAGCTGCTGTAGGTTCTACAAAGGGAGAATCTTGGAGATCAATGTGCGTCAGACATGGAAGGCCTATTGAAATAGATGTAACTAAGGAATCTGTTATAGAGTCCACTGACAGGCAGAGTTTCTGAAGACTTGGAAATATTGGTGGTCTCATACGATGCTCAGGCTGGTGTGACCCTGCGCTCAAAGTGAGCAGAGCAGACAACATTGCCATAGGAATATATCCAATCTCAAGAGAAGTGAGTTTCTCTGAAGCAGCCGCCCAAACTTCAGCAAATTTAGGATTATCAAATTTTGACACATCAAGTGCCAAGATCAGAGTCTGTCAAAAGAAATTCTTCATGTCAGATTTTTTACTTTAGGTAACCTATATTGGAAAAAAAGAGATTCCATGCAATTTATTAATTATGGTGCTCATGTACAATGTACATGTAGAGCATGCATATGTACGGGAAATATTACAATATTAAATAAAAACAGACCAACGTCTATCTCAATGAAAATAGTTCCCACTTTACCATGAATAGGAAAAAAAAAATATTTAGAAAGATTTGATCAAGATAACATGCTAAGCCTTAGTATACTTGACCTCAAAAGGAGGAAAAATAGAGATACTAAAAAGAAGAGCATGGATTATCATTCATTTGTACATCACAGCTAAACTAAAAGATTTATGACCCATAGACAATTTCCCCTACAACTAAAATAAAAGGCAGTTCACAAGTGCCATTTAAGCATCAATATAAGTTTCACAGTTAGTCACACATCCAACATTACTTACACTCAGCCTATTACAACTAGAATTTTTTTTAAAAATTTAGGTTTAACAAATAATACATGACAGAGTGCATTAATTAACACTATATGAAGTACTTCTTTAGTAGGAATGAAATATAAATAGCATATGAAGCATCACAAGGCCAAAAAGATTTCTCCAGAATTTGTATTAAATATTTATAACATTAGTTGTTAACTATGTTACATGGGTACTTTGAATCGGAAACCTTACCCATACCCGACATATACCCGTATCCGTACCTAAACTTCATCGGCACTTCTTGAATATATGCATATGTTTATTGAGGCGTGTACTCAAATCATAGAATACATGTTTTAATTTGAAGCGCTCCTCATGCACTTCTTGGACGTAGAAAACTTCACATCTACTTCTTATTAGTTGATCTCATGTAAATGAAAATACAACATTGATTTTATGTAAATTATTAATTTGAATGCAAATAAATATGCATAACTTACATATATATAGCTGTGTGCCCGTACCCTACATTCTACAAATTTGTCGTGTCCCGTACCAGCCGTCGTACCCATGCAACTTAGGTTATTAACCCCAAACTATTTCTTTCACACCACACAGACTCAAAATCCCCAAACCCTAACCCTTAAAGCTACACCCACACCCTCACCAGCCCTCACCTAGATCCGCCACAACCTGGACCTCCAGCCCAACCCGCCACCACCCGGACCACCGCCAAGACCAGCCATTGCACGATCCTCCTCAACTTCTTACCAATTATCAAGTGAGTTAAATTTTTCTTTTGAATTGTATTCTAAAGAATAAATATCGTTTTGTTTTATTACTAGTTTCACATTAATATGCTTATTTATGATTGAGAGATACAATTCAAAATTTTTAATATCTCAATAATATGCAGTAAATTAGTTTATTTGTCAAATGGTTTCTTCAATTTTACTAAAAATTGAAATATACTAAAGTGTAAAATGAATTGATAGTTAATGGATTATTATTTATTTTGAGAATTTGAGTCATAAAAATTAGACATTGTAGAAAGTAATTTTTTTTAGAATTGGTAACTAAATATAACTAAAAATTATTAATTAATTGGAATATAGTTTGATATTGATTATTTTATAATATTATTTCTTATTTTTAAATAAATAGATGTATTGTCCATCGCTCTAAGATTTTTTTTTCTAAATCCACAACTGATTACATCATCGAAACTTACTCCATCAAACAATCATATTGAAAGACTACTCGGCAAGCGAGAGTTCAAAGATGTTTTTAACCAAAAACTCCCTTCAAAGACTGAAACAGATAGTATGATATCAAGAAACTAGGCCCATAAGATGGGAGAACATTGATGGAGTGACGCAATGGGGAAGTTCATTACACCTTCGCAGTAGTGCAAGATTTAGCCCAGTTGGCCTAGTGATAACTTGTAGCTTCTTCGTTTCTTTCTAGATCCTGACTAGTATTCTTAGTATTTAGGGTCTTTCTTAGCATCAAAAGTATCTCAAATAATATGAACTCATGCTTAGAAAATAAATTTATGAAATTAAAATGAACTTATCACTTTCATGTTTTCGTCCATTCGAATGATTTACTATATCTTGGATACTATTTGTAGAGTGAAAATTTAGAAAACAAGCAATGTCATTTAAGATAACAATAACAAAGCCTTTATCTCAAATATTTTGGGTCGGCTACATGAATCATATTCTTCCATTCTATTTGATTTTTTATCATCTCCTTCGTTAAGTTAATCATTATCATATCCTTTTTAATTGCTTCTAACCAAGTACTCTTAGGTCTATCTCGAGATAAATATTATTAAAATGGTGTACTAAGAATTATAAAATGATGTCATTTAAGATAAAATTTATAAAAATGGTGTATTAAGAATTAAAAAATTAAAACTTTCTTATTCATGTTGATAATTTAGTCAATTTACTTCAAACATTATAATATCCTTAAATTAAGGAATTTAGAACCAAGAGGAAGATTAGTTAGTCTTTGATGATATTTATGGACTATATATTAGTTAAAAGTAAAATACAATAAAAATAAACATTAACCAAAAAGAACTTCATTATTAGTTCAAAAGAATATGAAATAAAGGATTGATTTCGACTATAGATTTATTCCTCTTTAGAAAAATCAAGAATACAATGACTTTTTTTGACAGCTATGATACTTTAAGGAGAACGTGAATAATAGTTTAAAAGAAATGCACTTCTCTACAAAACTAATCTCCATATACATTCAATAATCACTTTATTTTCATCACTACCTATACTTTAAGATTAAGACGAAAAAGATCTTTCATCCCTTGCGACTTGCATGCACGTGTGGGTGGGTGAAGTGGGGATACTAGTTATAAGCAACTCATTTAGCAAGTAGATAGGAGTTGTGGGGTCAAAATTGTCTCCCTCAACTAGCTATAGATTTTTACAGCTAATGAAGGTAGATTATTTTGTTTTGCATATTGAACCTGTAAAATTCACTCTACAGGAGAAGGTTTTATTACTGTGTGGGTTTATGGCTTCCAATAGACTCAAGAATCTATTGTTAATTATCATCTTCTAAGAGATAAATCTCCGATTAAGAGACTTGCAAGTCAGTACAAATTAAAAAATAGAAATTAATTGATTTAACGAAGGGCATACACTCAATTTGCAATTGATGTGTCTTCAATAAGTATATTGAGAAAAATAGTAAATTTGACTCCTTTTAGCAATATGGTGGTTAGATTTGTGATTTATTTTCTTCTGTTTCTGACATGGAGTTGGCTTTCTTGGATATGAAATTGCAGTTACTTTCTAACATGAAAGTCGATTTTAAATTTGGAATCCAGTCTAGAGACATGGAAGTCGAATTCGGACATGGAATCCAAGCTTGATGACATTAGAGTTGAAATTTAAATTTGGTGACATTAAAGTCGATTTTGAATTTTACAATTTTGAAAAAAAAAATTATTTTTTTAAATTTGGTAATTGATGTTGATTTCTGTCAATTTTAACAGTTCATTTTGATCATGCCAATTTTGATAGTTAATTTTTCATTTTCTAACTTTGGCAATTTATTCAAATTGTGCATTTTTGTATAGTTTAATGACATAGGGGTCAATATAATTGAATTTTTTAATATTATTTGTGCATATTTTTCTACACAAATCAATTTAGTTAATGGTGCATTTTTTCTAGTTTAACGAGTTAGGGTTCAACGCCATTATTATATCTAGAGTTTGGATTTTATCGATTTTGGAAATTGATTTTGATTTCTTCCAAATTTGGCTAATAAATTTAAATTTATGCTAATTTTGATAGTAGATTTTGATTTCACTAATCTTGGCAATTCATTTGAATTATACATGTTTGCCTAGTTTAACAGCTTAGAGATCAACACAATTAAATCTTTTTTAGTATTATTTATGCATATTTAATTTTTCTACACAAATATACTCATGATTTTTGTTTTCGATTCATAATTTGCACCTCGAGCAATTTGAGCCCCTTTAAATCCCAAACAATTAGAGGGCAGCTTATATCCTTTTGCATGTTGGGTTATTTATACCCTTTTGCATCTTAGGCAATTTGAACACATTTGAATCTTGGACAATTTGAGCTTTTTAGTATCTCGAGCAGTTCATACCCTTTTGCATGCTACGCAACTATACCCTTTTGCATCTCGGGCAATCTGAGCCAATTTGAATTTCAAACAATTTGACTTCATTGTTATCTCAAGCAGATCAATACCCTTTTGCACATCAAGCAACTTATACTCTCTTGCATGTCGAGCAATTTGAGCATGTTTTAAATAGTGTTATCAAGGCTCAAGGTGCAAAGTGTGGCGCAAAGTCCCCTTATGCGTACTATGTGTAAGGCGCAAGACAATGTGTGCGCCTCAGTGAAGTGAGGCACATACCGCAAATAAAATTATTTGATACATATGTCAAATAAACAAGTAATATGTTTGTAGATTTTGATATTTAAAACATGTCAAAATAAGTTCACCTATCAAATTAGACAATGAGAACCCAATGCATAATTTTGACACTAGTTAAATGTTAAAAGAAAGTAATTATCTATTTAATGCTACGGTTCTGTAGTTTTAGTAATTCATCATGGAGAAAAAATATAAAAGAACTATTATGAAACCATACATCCAAGAATTGTTGCATAGTACATGGTATGTAGCGGGTTGTGGTACAAATCCAGGTACGCAATTTACCACTTAGAAGTTTTGGATCGATGGGAGGTAGCTTGCTTCGATACACAAGTTTAGTAAGTGGTACGTTGTAAATCTTCTTTGACGTGCGTATAGTTTTTCGAAGTGTATAGTAGAAAACTACAAAGCTAGAAAGCTAGTTATGCATTTTAATATTTTCTATATTAAATACTTAAATATTTCTTTTTTATAGAGTTTGTTTTTCTTGTTCAGTTTTTCTTTTCACATAGTTCAGGTTGGGATCATGTTTTCATTCCATATTATATTAATATAGGTATTTAGATAGAGTAAGCTCATTTACTCATATTCAATTATGTGTCTCCCTTCGCTCGATTGTGCACATTACATTGCATCTTGCACATGTGCACAAGGAACTTTGTGCCTTGCATACTTATAAACAGTACGCCCATGTTAGGGAACCAATTCGTATATCAGAGAGAATTGGTTCACAAATGTACTGAAAACCGGTTCACAAGAACTATACAATGATTCGAGGGAGGTCCAGAGAATTGCGCAACTATGCATCCAAGTTACAACCATTCTAAGAAGCTGAACATTTAAATAGTCATATAAATAGTATGACTAGGCCTTGGTTTAACAATGCTTCAATAAAAAAACACGTCATCAAATTCAATATTAGAAATAGACGATGTCTCGATATATGGAACAGTAGTTTGTGATTTCACAGTCAATGTTCTAGGTATGGTAAGCAATAATGATTGCAACAAAGGGGAAAGAGTAAAATAAGATTTGCGGGTAACAAGAATTTAGGGAAGGAGGAGAACAAGAATGACAAAACAATAATGATAGCAAGCCAAAGAAGATGCACCAAGAATAGTAAGAAAACAGTGAGACACATCAACGCCTCGCTTATGTGATGCGCCCCACATGAGCAGGGTGCACTCTTAGTGCCTCGAAGCCGGTTTGAATCTCGAACAATCTAAGTCAATTGGAATACGGGGCAATTTATACTAATTTGAACATATTTGAATCTCCGACAATTTGAGTCCATGGGCAGTTAATACCCTTTTGCATGTTGGGCATTTTACACCCTTCTGTATCTCGAGACCTCATTTATATCTCAAACAATTTAAGTCCATTGGTATCTCATGACACATATTTCTGTCTTAAATTAGAAGAAGATGCACCAAGAATAGTAGGAAAACTATGAGACACATTGTGGCACATCAAGGCACGCACGTCGCTTATATGATGTGCCCCGCAAGAGTAGTGGGGTGCACTTTTATTGCCTCAAAGCTAGTTTGAATCTCAGACAATTCAAGTCTATTGGAATCTAGGGCAATTTATACCCTTTTGTATGTCGGGCAATTGATACCCTATTACATATCAGGACATATTTGAATCTCGGACAATTTGAGTCCATGGGCAATCTATACCTTTTGGATGTTGCACATTTTATACCCTTCTGTGTCTTGTGCATTTTAAGCTCATTTGTATCTCGAGCATTTTAAGCCCATTTGTATCCTGAGCATTTTAAGCTCATTTGTGTCTCGAACAATTCAAGTCCATTGGTATCTTGGGGATACTTGCAATTTTCTCATGACACATTTTGCCTTTGTCTTAAATCAGATCAGATTGAATCATTGGGCCAAATATGATTGTTTAGTTTTCCTTCTTTCATGGATGTGTATAAATTACAAGTTTTACTTTCACTTTGATGGCCTGCTAGCCTACATTGATCAGTTAGGCCTTGGGTTAATTTTGCTGGACAAGTTTGAAATTTGACCTTTTAACTAATCTCAATTGTGCTGCAGCAGGCTAGCTTAAGTTGCTTTTCATTTGGCTTCTCTTCCTCTCTCCCTGTATATCTTGAGGGGAGATAGAAAGTTGACCAGGGCATATGGTGTGGCGTGTAGGCTGTGGGTTCAACAGTGCAACAGCGGGACCCGATGATAGCGACAAAGCCGAGTTTCTAGTTGCGGATGATGACAAATTCGACGACAATAATGGCATGCCTCGCTGGCAATGGGCTTGCATAACGCCGACAGAGGTCATATATGTGTGCCATTGATGGATGAGGATAATGGCCATATAGGCTTTATTGACCCTAACAATGGTACATAGTCGGAATCAGATGGTCCTGAATAGCCCTTGAGGAATGGTCAGATCGGAAAGACTTTTAAGGATGCAAGTGACAACCACGATGATATTCATATAAGAGGGAGAATGGACAGTGATGTATGGTCTTCACATTGCCATAGTTACACTATTTGCGGCAGAGGAGATAAGTTCATGGTGGAAAGCTCTTGTTGGAGCAATAGCCTAGTGTCATGCTACAATGGTTCCTTGGAGTTCTCTTCATTCTTGCTTTGATTGGACGGATACAATAATCGAATGGAATCGAAATTGTTGTGCTCCCTTTAGAATTTTTATACCTATTTCTCCTCCCTATCTTTTTCTTCTCTGGGTGCCACTTCTAGCATGCAGCTTGGGGTTATTTGGTAAAGATTACCCATCTATTCTCCTTTCTTTGCATAAGAGATCATATTTTGTAAATGAACAAGAAACTTTAGAATAGTTAGGAAGGGAAAAATTAATGGGGGCTAGTTGTGATTCTATTGAGATATGAGTAGGATATTGGAGTGATTGATATGATTCGAAATTGAGGAGTAGATATACTCTATGATTCATTCAGATCACCCCTTCCATATGATATAATCAGAATTTTCATTTAAAATGATTATACCGCAACATCCTTTGAGTTTCCGCTCGTTGGTTCTGAGTTCAAAGCCCACACAATTCACTTTTCACATTTTATTTGCGTAAACTTTTTATGTTCAACAATGAGGTCCATTTGCTCCGATATGCCTAGAGAACTGAGTATCCTAGTAACCTATCATTTAGTAAAATGAGTTTTCAGTTCATACCCATTTTCCTCGCGTACGTACATACACATGCATATTGCATAGGTACACGACGAATGGGCCTAAAATAACATAAGGCTTGCAGAGAAGAGATATGTACAACTTGTGATTTCAAAAAAGTGAAAGCAAAAATGACTCAAATGCCACCTACATTCTCTCCACAGTCATAATCGTCAAGCATAATTCACATTGATCAACATTCTCAGTTAGCAATTGATATTTAGAGGCATATAGAAATTTATAAAGTAAACCATATAACTTACCTCTAAATGCGAACAACCGCTAAGCAATTCCTCTAAATCAGAAAACTGCACTACAAGCCTTCTACGTTCAGCTAAAGAGCTCAAATATAGAGTCCTGCAGAATATCTAGTTATTAGAGGGGAAAGAAGATAATGACCGGTAACAATCTGATAATAGTATCATGTAATAAATTTGGAGCAAAGAATATTTTTATGATAATGTCTTCTGCTCTAGCAAGCTCAGATTCAAAACCTAGTAGATATACTGTACAACAACAACCAAATAGATACACTGCACAGAAGGTAAATGACTTTCCACAAAAGAAGGGAAATATCACTTTAATAATACAATTTATGCAAAGACTGACCATTCACGGGCAATTATGCACTTTATCCAGAACTTTCCATTAGTTTCAACAGGCATACTCTAGAAGTAGACAGCGTTCAAACAGATCAAGGAGAACATTAAATAGGTAGTCTTATCCCATCCATTTAGAGTTGGCTTTATCGAGCTAGTCAGTAAGGTTACCTCCACATGTATCCGCGAAGGCTTACTCTGAGTTTTCCATTACTCTCTTTTTTCTCTGTGAACAAATTGGCAAATTCATCTTTTCCTTGGGAGTAAAAGGGTAGGATCATCTAACCATATTTCATTGATGAGTAAATGAAACTACTTACACATAATGGTAACATATATTGGAAAAGAAAAAGCTGTTGTATGAACTCAATTTAATCATTCATGTTGACCTTTATGCGCTAAGACGTGTGAACAAACAATTAAACTTTATTGCTTTTTTCGCACACATTTATAAAATGGAAACAAACGAGATATATGGTTCTTGCATTAAAGGTACAGAATACAGAAATAGAGCTTCAAAGCACCATACGAGGGTTCAGATGATGATAACTATCATCATGCATAATTATTAACCCCTTTTTAGCAAGCAATTAATTGAAATGCTTAGCTGAGAAAGATAGACGACAAAACAATAATAATCTACCTGAGATCCCGGCACTTTTCCCCTAACTGCGAAAGTAACTTCCCGCTCAGATTCTCACAATTATGCAAGTAGATCTCATTTAGCGACGGTCGAGCCAACATCTCAATCGACGAATCATCAAGCCTTGCGCAATCCAGCTTCAGGCTCTTCAAGTACGGATTTTGACGCAGAATCGGCCTTAACAGATCCAGCGAAGGCGCAATGTCCTAAACCCCAACAAGATCCAAACTCTTGACGAACCAATAAATTAATCAACCGAACAAAATTAGGGCGGATGGCTTACGTTAACGTGGAACGACGAGACGAAGGTTAGGGTTTGCGAGGCGCAGTGGCGGAGGGATCTGCACGTGGCGGCGGCGGAGCAGATGGATCGGACGTCGAGCTTGGAGAGGATCGTAGAGATGACGGTCAACGGGAGGACGAGATCGAGTCGGGATAAATGGTTCGGATGTTTCGGATTCGTTCCGGGTTCGTCCCGGACCGTCGTGTCGGTTTTCGTCGATCGTTCTTCGGCCATTTCGTCGGGTCGTGTTGGCAAATTTTTTGGATCTGGGGGGAAGGAAGAAAAAGGACGGAAGCCGATGGTGGAGGATTTTATTCGTGGGCGCTGCCGCTGGTAAAATTCCCGGGCGAGTTATGCTAAGTGGTGCCTAAGCTTTTAACAATTTGCACTTTGGTTTCTCGAGTTTACTGTGGGCGTCGAGATTTGCTAACGTCGATAATCATCGATTCATCATCATTTACCAAAGGGGAAAATGCTAGACGCCCCGAAATAAGATAAAAAATGCTAGACGCCCCGAAATAAGATATGGAATGTACCTGTTTTGCGATGGGAGTATTTAAGATACCACTGAAGCTTTAATGGACTTGTGCGGTTCATCTCAGTTGTAAAAGCACAAGATAACTGTATCGGAAAAAAAATCAAATCAGTTCACAAGAGGGTATTTCTTCATGAGTTAGATGGTAAGCATGTATAACAGTTCACAAAATTTTTAATTTAATTGTAAAGATTGAGAGCTAATTGTTGATGTTGAATGACAATTGTTAAGGTTGAGAAAGTTTTTAATTGTAAAAGTTAATTTGTAAAACTTTGGATTTAGTTGTGAATGACAGTTGTTAAGGTTGTACGTTAGTTGGTAATGTTGAACCGTAGTTGTTTGAGATTGAGTATTAGTTGTTGTTGTTGTCGAGTGGTAGTTCTTGTTGTTGCAGATTAGTTATTACTCTTATGTCTTACTAGTACAAAACAGGTCTGTCCAAACGGTTGGAACTGTTTGGGCAAATGCAGTCCCAAACGGTTACAACCGTTTGGACAGGAAAAAAACCCGTTTGGGCTGAAGCCGTTGGGATGAGTTTTCCCCAACGGTCGCCCGGATGAGTTTTCCCCCAACGGTCGCCCAAACGGTTGTAACCGTTTGGACAAAGTCCCAAACGGTTACAACCGTTTGGACAAAATCCCAAACGGTTGTAACCATTTGGGATGTAAAAACTGTCCAAACGGGTTGAACCGTTTGGGCAGATTTTTGTCCAAAAGGTTCCACCTATTTGGCCAAAATCTGTCCAAACGGTTCTAACCGTTTGGACAAAAATCTGTCCAAACGGTTTAAACCGTTTGGCCCGTTGATTTTTAACATTTTTTAATTTTGTCTGTTTTATTTATCTACCGGCTTACATTTAATATACACATCTCACACAATAATTTCTTAATATTTCACAATAAAATCGAAAACATATACATACACAAAAATATCTCAAACGATGCTAAATATCCAATATTATATATACATACATAATGATTACTCAATACATAATATTTGAGACAAACATAAACATATGCAATGATTACTCAAAATCTCTCTGTTGAGAATAAATCAAATACAAGATCACGGGTATCACAATGCAGCCATTGTTGATTCTGCTACAACCTCTCTCTGACCAAATACACATTAACCTACCTAATTTCTCCCTTGCATCTAAAAATCTCACTAGGGAAGATAATGCCTGCTTTGTTCCCACAACATTGTTAAAACTAACATAACTAATATTTGAAACAAATTCCATTAACTCCAAACAATAACCAGTATCAGATATTTCAAATTGCAGCAACTCTAGGAACCTCCACAGTAAACTTATCAATCGCAGCCATCCACTGATTCTTCTCTTTTGCAGGATTCACCGTCATCAACGCTCTCCAGACTGTGCTATTACACTTGAAGACAGACCCAAATGCAATCTTCCACACTCTGTTTCCCCTCTTCATCCTCCCTTTAGACTCAGCATAAGCCAATTCATAACAAAGAGAACTGATCAAGGTGTTACCAAACTGGTATAGTGTTATACTCGATGGCTCTATGTGCGACGCAGTCAACTGCAAATTTTTCTCAAATTCATTAAGTACAGTATCATATAATTTCAAAAGAGAGTATAACAGTGATTACAGGTTCGAAAATATATTGTAAAGAAGTAAAAAATTAAAGTCACCTTTAATATTTTGATGCCAGTTTCAGAATAAAGATCGTCATATCTCCGAGCGAGCGAAGGAGTGAATAACCTTGTCATCAGATTAAGCGTCATTAGTTTGTAAAAGTACAGACAGTTTTAAGGGACACAAAATAGAATATGTCAATCCTTATAGCTTACATGTTACAATGATAAAGTTTTCCCTAGCTATGCAGACATATTTATAACCAAATATTAAAGTATTCTTACAGTGGTATCAAGATTCCATCCAATGGTTGCAGTAGCAACTTCCATGCCAATATAGCCCCCACCAATCACAACCACCTTTTTGCCTTTCTACTACAAGATAACAGTCCAGTTATAAAAACAATATTAATATATAAACTGCAAATTTAAAAGAGAGTATGGATAGAAAAAGAAGCATGCCACCATGTTGATGTCGGAATCAAAATCAATTTCCACACCACAAAACAAAAATAGACTAGATAAAAGATGTATCGAGGAGTACAGAAAGCATCCATTCACCATTTCATACGAATGAAACTAGTTTAAAACTAAGTCTGAAACATCTAAACAATACCTCTATCAAAGACAATCGACCAGACATATACATCAATATCATATCATCTAAGCCTCTTTCACCAGAAGAGGATTTAAAGTGGAGCAATAATTTTAGTTAAAGAGATCCCATGACCAAAAACTAGCCATGTGTTGGCACTCTAGCTCTATGCAAACTTCCAATTCGTTTCCAAGGTAACCAGAGATGCAAGAATAAAGCTTTTGACAAAACATGGAACCCAAATTTTGTAGAAAACCGAGCATATTGATCAGAAAACATTTGCTAAGGCAAATAGAGATCGCACACAAATGATTGTACTTCTATTTCTCGACATACAAGCTTATGTGCCTTCAAGGCCAACGGGACTCCATCTTTCTACATGGTAATAAAGATCCAGAAGGCGTCAACATCAGATGAACTTGCTGAATGAGGTTGTAGTATGTGGTTAATGGTGAGTTATCAGACTCTCGTTAAGTGTAGTTCGTCTGAACATTAAGGCTAAGTCATGTCTATATATGCATCACAGTTTCTTCATATATGCAACTTCCCAAATTATGAAAAGAAAACATTTGCAGACAAACATAATTGTCGAGAGAAATATAATAGTCCAGAGAAATTTTGTCTGATTTTTTTATCAGACAAACAGTTCATAGCACAAAGACTTCAAAGAACAATAAAAACGTGTCAAATAATACACATCACAGAAGACAAACAGAGTATATTGAAGCAACAAAGTTGACAAAAAACTCTTAAGAAAGAGGAAGAAAAAAAGGAAAAGAACATATAACAGCTCATTTACAAGCATCAAATTCAAGCCACACAAGTCATAAATAGATCACTACAAGACAGAGAAAGCAAACAAGAACAATTATGGATGTGCAATGCTTCTTAAATCTTCAAGAAATATTATTGTAGATGGACCGCAATCAATTATGCTCGAAATTATGAGATCTGAATCCTGGACGTGAATAAGATCCAAACATAAAGCATACACAATAACGAAAAGTAAGCACAATAGTAGCATCAATCATCACTAGATCTCATTCCGGAGAGGGACAAACCTTAGCTTTGGGAATGACCTTGATGGTCACCTCCTCTCCCTTCATATCTCCCTCCTCCAAAAGTCTCAATTGTAAAAAATTCACCCTCCTCCATCTTTGCCTGCTCACCACCTTTTACAATTGGAACAGATTTTCCAGCATGTATTTGGTAAGGGCCTATGCTATGTCCATTCAAATTCCGAATTCTTTTAACTGCAAAGTGGTGAAAATGAATCTCCTAAGGAAGCAACATATAATCAATTGATGAAGAATTTTAATGCTCAATATCAGATTTATTGACATAAAGTAATGAAACAAGATTTGTACACAAGTGATGAAGAATTTTAATGCTCAATATCAGATTTATTGACATAAAGTAATGAAACAAGATTTGTACACAAGATCAATAGAGCCAGTCAACCAAATATTAGATTTATTGACATAAAGTAATGAAACAAGATTTGTACACAAGATCAATAGAGCCAGTCAACCAAATATTTCAGATCAGCTCATCAAGAAATTTAAAACTTACAAATAGCTATCAAATATATAATGTCAAACAGTTAGATGTGTGTTTCGAAGGAAAAAAGAGATTAACCTTGGTTCTCAGCATCACCGTTTTCTTCTGTCCTCCGGAGTTGTTGTCCCCTTCCGTGTTGTTTCCGCCGATGGCGGTGCCGTTGTCTCTGGTGAACTCTTCGCCGGCGTTGTATCCGCTGATGTCCGGAGTCGGTTGATCGTTTTCGGGGGAGACAGCAAATTCCTTGATCCTCAGCATATCCATATTCATCTCGATTTCATTCCTCTTCCTCTTTCTGGACTCCCGCCTCGTGATATCGCCGCCAGAGATGTCGACGCTGGCGCTGTCGTCGGTGCTCTTGCTGCTGGTGTGTCGATCGGCTAGCGTCGGCAGTCGCTGGTGGCCCGGAGACGGTTGTCGTTGTTCGCTGATGATCGGATGAATGATTGAAGACGAGAGGCGGAATTGCTTGGTAGATTGAGAAGATGATTTGTAGAGATTGCGGGTTAAGGAGGCGCGGGGATTGTTAGAGTTTGGGGAAATTTTGGGGGAAGGGGAATTTTTTTTTTTTGGAGGGGGGTGGGGGGAGCCGGTTTAGTTAACGAAGAGACTGAAAAATAGATATTATTTATTTTAAAAAAGTAAAATAACTAAATCACCCAAACGGTTTAAACCGTTTGGGATAAACATCCCAAACAGTTGAAACCGTTTGGTGACTGTGTTTGGGATCTCCTAATAGTCCAAACGGTTTCAACCGTTTGGGTTTTGATATCCCAAACGGATTCAACCGTTTGGACTATTTTTACTTGTCCAAACGGTTCTAATAACCGTTTGGACTGTTTAGTTTTGTACTAGTGTTAGTTATTACTCTTACGCCTCATATGCATCAATCCACCTCAAGATGCCATGGAAAAGGATCTCTACCAATACACAACTAGCTCAAGTTCTTTTTCCACGCCAAAGCAGAGAGGTCATTGAAAGAATAAGTGCTCTAGATCCTCTTGAGCTTAATTACGCAGCATACGTTTACTCTCGTGAACAATAAGTAGATGCATAAGCCTGCTTTGTGTAAGCAATCTATGTTGGATTTAATCTAATAAATCTATTTGTGGGCACATATGATTAATCAATGTGTATTGCTATCTTTCAGGATAACCCACTAAAGTGATCAATTAAGTTGGGTTAATTTGGTATTTAAATAAGTCATGGGGTTATATGTGCAGATACCAGGTTGTAATTGTAATTTATTGATGGGCTAAATTACAAAAGTACAACATCTATAAATAAGGGGTTATGGTCCCTAACCTAGGGTTACATTCTCTAATTCTCTTCACCCCATCTAAGAGAGAAATTCGGCTGGAGAGAACCCTAAGGTTAGAAGATCAAAACACATCTCAAGATCAAACAATGGATTCAGGTATAAGCTTCCGCTCTTTAGATTTCTTGTTAATCTCTTTGAATTAATCATGGCTATATGGTTTTAGATCTCAAGTTTTGATGTAGATCTAACAAGTGGTATCAGAGCCACCTTGATTAATTCTTAGGGATTTAAGTTTTATTGGGTTTTTTGATCTTAAATCTCTAGTTAAAGATTCAATTTTTGGGTTCGGATGAACAGTAATGTTCGGTGAACAGCAGCGAAAATTTTTTCGGGTGAACAGTAAAGTATTTTTTTTGGATGAACAGTAACTGAAAAATCGCCGGTGAACAGTACCTTTTTGGAATTTTTTGGATTTTTCTTTGATTTTTTTTTCTTCAATTTTTCCAATTCTGGATCTGTTTTGAAAATAAAAATCAAAGATTTTTGGGTTTGTCGGCGGCGGTTTCAGTTTGAAACCCTAAGGGTTCATGGCGAAAATTAAGGAGGTGGTTACCTCAAACGAACCTCGCGTTCGTTCAATTTTAACCGAGCTTCGCGCTCAACGAACCTCGCGTTCGTTCTAAGGTGAACCTCGCGTTCAACTCAGGTGAGCGTCAAGCTCAATTTTAACGAACCTCGCGTTCGTTCTAAGGTGAACCTCGCGTTCAACTCAGGTGAGCGTCAAGCTCAATTTTTAACGAACCTCGCATTCGTACTTCAGACGAACCTCGCGTTCGTGCTACAGTCGAACCTCGCGTTCGTACTTCAGACGAACCTCGCGTTCGTGCTACAGTCGAACCTCGCGTTCGTACTTCAGTTGAACCTCACGTTCATTTTTAAACGAACCTCGCGTTCGTTCCCAAGTTGAACCTCGCGTTCTTTTATCAAACGAACCTCGCGTTCGTTCACTTTCAGACGAACCTCGCGTTCGTGCTTAAGTGAGTCTCGTACTCAATACAGTCGAACCTCGCGTTCGAAGTTAAGGGAACTTCGTGTTCATTATGGTTAAGTCTCGGCTTTTCCTGGGTCCACTTTGGTATACTTAATTTATTCAATTAAGTTATGGGCCCTAATTAAGCTGTAAGACTCCAATTAAGTTTTTGGAAATTCAGTTGATTTAAATTTTTAATTTAAATCTAATTCGGTTTTTAATCAATTATTTAATTCAAATATTATGACACTAAGGTATTAAGGTTGTCTCTCACTCCAATTGATTAATTGAAGCAAGAAGTTGCCAAAGTAACCTCTCTTGTGTAGATTGTTCATGAGGAATGTGAGATGTTTGTGTGTATGCTTTCGTGTAAATATTTAATCGGCCCAAAGGAAGGTTAATATTTATTTAGACTGTATACACATCTGCGATGATAAGCGTGTGACAATTATAAGGTTTACATGTGAATAATGAATCGATCCAAAGATAGTTTCATTATTTGACATGAGTTATTGTCAATGTTTGATCATTGCAACAAGGTATCACTTACAAGTTAATATTACTGTCCAAAGACTTGATATTAATGTTGTGCCGGTATCTTGGATGGGGATTGTCATTATTTGAATTTTATTGATTATGGTTATTGATGTGAGCATTCTTTTGTTTTATTTCAGCTAATGCATCTGCTGCAACAATTTCTGCTAACATCAACTCAATTCCCATGCTAAATGGGACAAACTTCAAGGTTTGGAAAGAGAACATATTAATTGTTCTTGGCTGCATGGATCTTGACTATGCATTAAGAACTGAACAACCCCAACCTCTCAATGCGGATAGCACTCCTGATGCAAAGAAGGAGCATGAGAAGTGGGAGCGTTCAAATCGCATGAGTCTTATGATCATTAAGCGCGGCGTTCCGGAAGCCTTCAGGGGCATAGAATCCGAAGGGATTACTAAGGCTAAAGATTTCCTTGCCGAAATTGAGAAGCGTTTTGCGAAAAACGATAAGGTAGAAACAAGCACGCTTTTAGCTCGCTTGATTTCAATGAAGTATAAGGGCAAAGGAAATATCAGGGAGTACATTATGGAAATGTCTCATATTGCTTCAAAGCTTAAGGCACTTAAACTCGATCTTTGTGACGAGTTATTAGTGCATCTGGTTTTGTTGTCTCTTCCTGCACAGTTTAACCAATTTAAGGTCAGTTATAACTGTCAAAAGGAGAAATGGACTCTAAATGAGCTCATTTCATACTGTGTGCAAGAAGAAGACAGGTTGAAGCAAGATAAGACAGAAAGTGCTCATTTGGCCTATGCCTCTAAGGATAAGGGCAAGAAAAGGAAGAATGATAAGGAAGCTGCTAAGGGTCCAGTTGAGAAGAAACAACATAAGGATAATCAGGGTTGTTTCTTCTGTAAGAAGCCTGGACATGTAAAGAAGGACTGTACAAAATATCACGCCTGGCGTGATAATAAGGGTACGTTCCTTGCTTTGGTCTGTTCTGAGGTTAATTTAGCTTCAGTACCTAGAAACACTTGGTGGTTAGACTCTGGTGCTACTACTCACATAAGTGTTTCTATGCAGGGTTGCATGAGCTACCAAAAGCCAAGTGATGTTGAAAGACACATCTTTGTGGGTGACGGACAATCGGTAGATGTGGAAGCAATTGGGCACTTTAGGTTGTTGTTAGGAACTGGTTATTATTTGGATTTAAAAGATACTTTTGTAGTACCGTTTTTTAGACGGAATTTTTTTCCTGTTTCTGTATTGGACAAATCAGGTTATTCTTGTTCATTTGGAAACAGTCAATTCAGTTTATCTTTTAATTCAAATGTTGTGGGAACCGGTTACTTAAGTACTTATGACAACCTATATTTGCTCGATACAATTGCTTCTTATAATGAATCATTGCATGTGGAAACACGTGGAACTAAGCGTAAATTAAATAAGGAAAATTCGGCGACATTATGGCATAAGCGCTTAGTTCATATCTCAAAAGGTAGAATTGAGCATCTTGTGTCTGATGGCATTTTGGATTCCCTTGATTTTTCGGACTTCGACGTATGTGTTGAATGTATCAAGGGAAAACAGACCAAAGTGAAAAGATTAGGTGCCAACAGATCTTCGGATGTCTTAGAATTGATACATACGGATATTTGTGGGCCATTCCCTACGGAATCCTGGAATGGTCAACAATATTTTATATCATTCATAGACGATTACTCACGTTATGGGCACCTATATCTTATTCATGAAAAATCTGAGTCTCTGGACATGTTCAAAGCCTATAAAGCTGAAGTTGAGAATCAACTCGACATAAGAATTAAAACCGTCAGATCTGATCGTGGTGGTGAGTACTACGGTAGATATGATGGTTCAGGTGAACAACGTCCAGGACCATTTGCTAGATACCTAGAGGAATACGGTATCGTCCCATAGTACACTATGCCGGGTTCACCTAGCATGAATGGTGTAGCTGAAAGACGAAACAGGACTCTTAAGGATATGGTAAGAAGTATGATTGCTCATTCTTCGTTACCAGAGTCACTCTGGGGAGAAGCACTTAAGACAGCAGCTTACATTCTGAATAGAGTACCAAGTAAAGCAGTTGCTAAAACACCTTATGAGCTTTGGACTGGTCGAAAACCCAGTTTAAAGCATTTACATATTTGGGGATGTCCAGCTGAGGTAAGGCCTTATAGGCCAAATGAAAAGAAATTGGACTCCAAAACAGTTAGCAGCTACTTTATTGGATACTCTGAACGCTCTAGGGGCTATAAGTTTTATGATCCCACTATAAGGAATATTTTTGAGACGGGAACAGCAACATTCTTTGAGGATGTTGAGTTTGGGGGGAGAAATAAGGTTAGAGACATTAGTTTTGAGGAGGAATTGGCTTCAGATCCAATCCATACAGTTACTTTTGACAATATTCAGGTTCCTATACCTGTTGTTGCTCAAGAAGTAAATCCGGAACCTCAAGATGATAATGTTGAACAACTCCCTGTTCCAGAAGAACAAACTCAACAACCTCAAGAACCAGTGCCATTAAGGAGATCCACGAGAGAAAGGAGAAATGCTATTCCGGATGATTATATTGTATTTCTCCAAGAACATGAGGA